TTGTTGCCCATCCCTCAGTGTGTTACTGCTTGGTGACGTCCCTACCATTCAGGATCTACGATCTGTTGCCTGTGTCCTTCAATGAACGGGAGAGAAAATAGGATTTTTGTACTCACCGTAAAATCCTTTTCTCTCCGTTCATTGAAGGACACAGGCCCCGCCCTCTTTATGGGGTGTACACTCCTAACTGCCTGTTACTAAACTGGAGACTTGTCAGCAGGTGGGGGGTTTGGCCACCGGCAGGGGCCGCCCCTAGGCTGTAATTGGTCTTTAGTTTTGTGCCTAGCGTCCTTCTCCTGCAGGTGGCGATATTACCCTACCATTCAGGATCTACGATCTGTTGCCTGTGTCCTTCAATGAACGGAGAGAAAAGGATTTTACGGTGAGTACAAAAATCCTATTTTTTCTCCAAAGCCCAATGCCAGGTGAAATGTTTGTAAATAATATGGCCCCCAGCCAGTGTACAAAAAGCTCACGGTACAATACTCGACCCTGAAATGTATGTCAAGTCAAAAAAAATTTTTCTAGTTTTGGATAAAGGGGGTAGGAGTTAAAACTCCTGTTGGGTTTTTCCTGCCATCGTAGGCACCATTAGAGAAATGTGCCTTGCTATGTTTTCACTATACACGAAGTGAGGAAAAACCTGCAATAGAATACTTGCCGAAATAAAAATCTGACAGGGGCTCCAGTCTTTCGCTACTCTACTAAGGAAAATCATATTTTTTATGTCTGTGTTGCAGTTGGAGAGTTCCCCTCACTTCTGTGTTGTAAGTTGTCAGCAGGAGAGACAGTGAGGATAAATATATCTAATGGAGCCCTGGATACCAGTAACAACCTAATGGTGGTTCTAATCCTTCCCCACTCTATCCAAAACTAAGAAAACTTCCAGGGCTGTCCTCCCATAGTACTTTTTCACCACAAGATGTCCTTTAGGGTTGAATGATGACTGGCTTCATTTAACTTCAAAGACTTAGAACATTCTATAAATATAGTGCGTCGTGGTCTCACCCTCCACGGGAGCATCACCACAGCACCCTTCATTCATAGTGTATTGATGCAGATTGACTGCAATGCTGCTCTCTGCATTTCCAAGGAGAACAGCGGAAAAGAACCTGGCATGTCATATGGCCGGCCACAAGCCAAAAGGGAAGTATGTTAAAAAATAAGGAGGGGGCGTTACGTGTGGGGGAAGCACAGAGCAGGGAGTTGGTCTTAAAGCTCTTTTTATTTCTGACCCTAAGCTAAAACTGATTTTGAGATTAGATCTGAGGTACCCCGGACAACTTTATTAATATTTTCTGTATTGTGCACCCATAGAACTGAATTCCTACATTGCCCACACAGACAGTGGTCAAGGGTAGCATTCCCATATATTAAAATCTTCTATACTGTTGCCCTGCCTGGCAGTGCCAGCTGCTTAGGATGTCATGGTTACTGCTCCTGCACAGTTTGTGCACTTTTGTTGGTGGAATAGTGTTGTGTTGTGATATTAATATTGAATAGGGCAAACATTTGTGCTACTACGCATCAGTTCTAGGTACAGTATTCTGGCAATGAATGGGCAGACTGTACTTGTGCCTTTCCACTTCGTTGTACCTCCTGTAGCTTTGATGTCTGATCTTTTCATTGTGAGGCTAAGGCTGGCTAGTCAAGCGTGGTTAACAGGGTGTACACAAAGCTTAGGTCAGGGGGCATACATTTAGCCCTGTGCACCCTTCAAGCAGTATTGGAAAAACAGTGAAATCCTCTAGATCTCATTCTTTAATCAATACCATGATTACCACCATTGGGACCATCACCCCATTGTTTGCAGACATAGAAATACAATGGCTCCCATGAAGAGTCCCTGGGGAAAATGTATGAAAACTGGAGCAGACAGAGTCTAAAACATTTGTCCATAGTAATCAATCAGCTTCTCTTTTTAGTGTATTCAGTTAAGCTTTGCAAATAAAAGATAGAAGCTAAATTGGTTGCCATGGCATCTACTTCAGATTTTGTTAGCTCTAGTTTTGATAAATTCCCCTGTGTGTTTTTAGGATGTTTTCCAAAAAAATTATTTCATTGGAAGGTGGAGACGTGAAATCTGGAAATCATAGTTTTGGTAGTTCAGACAATGGAAATCCAGCTAACTCTATTGATTACATAGATGTGTTGTGTTTTTCCAGTATAATTCTGGTATTATATGTTCTCACATTGCATCCTCTGTGAACACTTTGCATTACTATTTGCAGGAAACCAGGGAGACGAGAGCGGCGTTCGTTCTGCAAGCAGGAGAATCGTAAATCCCCCCGGTGGACGTTCTAATATAACATCTCTCAGCTAAACAGCCAAGTTACCTAAATGAGTGGGAAAACCAAAATGGTACAATTGGTATTTGAGACAGGCAAAAAAATTCAAAAAATAAATAAAATAAATTTGAAACCAAGTTCAATCTGAAGATTTGTTAACCTTCAGGCCTTACATTTTACAAATGCGTTTTGCTACCTAGCTTTAAAAGTGTTGCTGTTTTTATTTCTTCATAATTGCATAGCCTTAATTTCAGCCCAGTGCATGCAGTTCAGACAATGGCAGTTACCAGAGTGTGCTGTTCAGGTTCCATTCTCCTGTGGTTATTTTATATATTATTATTTTTTTTTTTTTTAAATAACGCATTTAGTATAATTCTGGTATTATATGTTCTCACATTGCATCCTCTGTGAACACTTTGCATTACTATTTGCAGGAAACCAGGGAGACGAGAGCGGCGTTCGTTCTGCAAGCAGGAGAATCGTAAATCCCCCCGGTGGACGTTCTAATATAACATCTCTCAGCTAAACAGCCAAGTTACCTAAATGAGTGGGAAAACCAAAATGGTACAATTGGTATTTGAGACAGGCAAAAAAATTCAAAAAATAAATAAAATAAATTTGAAACCAAGTTCAATCTGAAGATTTGTTAACCTTCAGGCCTTACATTTTACAAATGCGTTTTGCTACCTAGCTTTAAAAGTGTTGCTGTTTTTATTTCTTCATAATTGCATAGCCTTAATTTCAGCCCAGTGCATGCAGTTCAGACAATGGCAGTTACCAGAGTGTGCTGTTCAGGTTCCATTCTCCTGTGGTTATTTTATATATTATTATTTTTTTTTTTTTTAAATAAGGCATTGAAAACAAATATCTGGCGGATACAATTAGTTGTGGAATATGATGGATCTTCCTTTGTCACCAAGCTTTTCTGTTTTTATACAAGAATTGCAATAAAATGGAGGTCCCACAAAAAATTGCCTGATTTCTTGTGTACTGAGGTTTAGAAATGGACATTAACTGCAGAATATGAAAAGCTCTAAGTAACATAGAAGAGGAATCTCAACTTTATCAAAACTTAATCTTTTATAATAAGCATAGCAAAACACTGTTCACATAAGCAAGATTATCCATTAGTGTGCACAGTAATATAAACCAGCCCACTGATATCATTTAGTGCAATTTATTTATTTATTATATTGCGTCGAGAATTTACATAGTGTACATTCACCCCGATCCCTGCCCTTGAGCTTACAAACTAACAAACTACAAACTAAGGTCCCTATATCACATGTATACACAGAGGACTGATTTAGAGAGGAGCCAATTAATCTACCAGCATGTCTTTGGAGTGTGGGAGGGAACCAGAATACCCAGAGGAAACCAATGCAAGCACATGGAGAACATGCAATCACATCGAAACAATGGCAGTTATACAGTACAGCAAAAGACATTAAATAAAACATACTGTAAATAGCAGTAAAGACAAGTAGGACCAATGAATGTTTGGAATGACACACAAGGCCATAATATATGATGGTTGATATAGAAATGGCTTAAAATGTATATATATTGTACAAAGTAGAAAAATGTATTGTACAGACATTTTTTTGGCTGGCTCTATTTAAGAGTAAAACTGGCCATTTACTGTTAGAATGTCATCTGATTCACCAGAAATTCTAACAGTGGGTGACCCTGCCGCAGTCGGGGCCGGTAATTGTTGGCCAAACAGGAACCAAAAAAACAGTATCGGTGCATCCCTAGTCAGCTTAATAGTATACATGCTTGCCGTGTACTGTGGTAACAATAGTGAATGCAATACAACATATGTCAAGTGATATAACGCTGCAATAAAGAATATTAGGGATGCACCATCACTAGTATACCTTCCCTGATAAAGGAACTTCCAGCTTCCTGATTAGCCAGGAAGTCAGCTCCATACTGATCGGCTGGGAAGCCGGCTTCCTGGAGAATCAGCATCAAGCTGGCTAAGCATCATCGAGCCACCTTCCCGGGCAATCAGGAAGCCGGGCGGCGCGTAATAACCTGCCTCCCAACTTAATGATAGGGCGGGAAGCCAAATGGCGGGCTTGATATTGATTGGCTGGGAAGCCGGCTTCCCGGCCAATCAGCATCAAACTGGCCAAACAGCATGGAGCCGACTTCCCGGGCAATCAAGAAGCCGGGCGACAGGTAATACACCACCCGACTGATTGCTCGGGAAGCCGGCTCGATGCTAGGGAAGTACCAGTATCGAAAGATAAATATCGGTACTCGTATGCGATACCAAAAAAACTATATTGGTGCATCCCTACTGAACATTTATTCTACTGAAATCAAACTTATGAGTTAACATGATGAAAAAATAAAGAAAACGCATGCTATTAAAAGTATCCTGCATGCAAAATCTATTACAGAGTTATGTTTTTCGCCAATAGTGCACAGATACAGTCTTCATTGCTGAACAGATACCGCTCATAAACCTGTAGTACTATACATTCGCCACAAGATGGCAAAAGATGCTTGAGAAGTGTACTGTATTTCAGCTCAGCTACCATTGTTACAAAAATATACATTTTAATATATATATATATGAAAATAGGTAAAGTTATGAAAACACAAGTACTATATTTTATTTCACTTTATTCACGGTCTATAGATTTTGAAGATCTCCAAACTCTATACAGATTCTAATGACTGGATCTCCAATGGTCACTAAATATGTAACAAGAAAATGTAATAACACCAAAACAGTTGAACAGAGAAATGACACACATAGCAAATATAACATCACTTTCTGAATCTGTACTTTAAGCCAATGAACTTTTAGCCATCTCATGCACACAGAATGACATTCCCCTAGCCCAATATAATGTGTCCCCTCCATGTAACAGAGCAATAAGAACCTTGGTTCTCAACTGGTGGGTCGTGAACCAAAAGTGGGTCATGACCCCGTGTTCAGTGGGTTACCCATACCTTCCACTTTTCTAGGTGAGAGGCTCCTCAGCCCACCCCTAGCACAGCACTGTCAGTTCCAAGTAGCCATTCACCAAAATGCTGCCCAGTGCCAGGTGTCAGCTTGAGGTGGGGTGCGATGGGGCTATGGCCGCGAGGGGAACTCCATCCATACATGCATTGCTCACAGCTCCCACATGTCCTATAGAGGTGACTGGACCAGAGTGATGTCACATTCCGGGTCCCAGGACCTTTACAGGACGCACAAGGGAGCTGTACAAGCAATGCACATATGGATGGAGCTCTGTCACAGCACAGGAGCACACACTGTACCCCAGGCTGAGGATCCACTACAGTTCTGGTAATGGTAGGGGGACTGGGTGGGCCTAAAAAAAAATTAAAACATTTTCGGAGTGTGTATGTGTGAGATTGATTCTGTGGTTGTGTATCTATGTCAGTGTTTTTGAGGGCCCATTCACACTGGTACAGTGCGTTAATGGCATTGTACCATGCGATTACCACTATACCACACAATCACACCTACCGTGCATTCTGGTATGTTACCCGAAACGCACCTCCCACCCACAGCTTGTACGCCCGCACTGGAACGTGCAGTACCCTAATGCCGTGCGTTCCATTGCAGTTTGACTAGGGTCATGACCTAATGACCAAGGACAAATGTGGGTCCTGAGGTTGAGAACCACTGAATTAGAGGAAGGACAGACATGAAAATTAAATGAACAAAGGGGGAAAAGACATACAGATAATAGTCAAACTATTAACAAATGAAAGAAAACAAATCATAAGGTAAAACAAATAAAATGTAGAAAGAGGAAAAAAGTACAGAAAAGGAAATAAAATCACTGAATGGTGGAAAAACTAATGAGACACTTGAATAAATGTGACATTCCTTATTGATGCTAGTCAAATCAATGTCTCACTTTTCTAAACCTGCTGCACAAAGTTCCTGCAGATAAATATATGTGTGCCAGTAACATTGGCATAGAGCACAATATAGGCTGTACTTTTTAATGCCGAATATATGAATATAATGTGAAATATGCTATGTGTGAAGTACAATGGAGGCACCATGGGGTCCTGTGCTGTAGCAGAATCTAGGCTCACACAGGGGTTCGCACATGGCATGTCTGCACTAGAGATTCAATTTGCTCCTTCTAAGCAGTTGTCTTGTTATCAGTTCATACAACCATAACTATATGTCAGGAGACAGGGAAACTACATTACATGGATACTGTACATAACTCAATCATTTAGACCTTCTGGACCACATTAATATGAGGTTACATACCTTCTGGGATTGGAAAGAGGGTCAGCCTGTAGTTTGACTATTTACTTTAGTAACCATTAATTCATAAAGTTTTAGCAAATGATACATAATATAAAAAATTAATCCAATAAAATGATCAATGTCCAAACTAGATATTGTCAATCCAGATTTTGATTAGGTTACCATCACCCTTAAGGGCATGCACTTACAGTGCGTTCCAGCGTGGTTAGCTGCTGGAACGCACTGGATCGCATCCTGGCCGGCTCTCTGCGTTCTGGGGCAGGAGTGAGCATGGCGGTGCATTCAAGTCAATTATTGACTTGCACTGCCACGCCCCCTCCTACCCCAGAATGCAGGGAGCCGGCCAGGATGCGATATTGGGTTAGAACGAGGCATGTGTATGCTAACTAATATTGTAACAAAAAGACGTAGCGCCACAACCTAGTGTAATAAAAACGAATGATTAGGGGGAAAGTAGACAGATAACAATGTTGCACTCACATGAGTCATGAAGTTGGACAGCAGTGATACAAAGTAGCCAGATGTTTCTGTGCAGAGCAGCAGCTTGCGGGGCATGCAGTAAATGTTTCAAAATGTAGCCTGTCCTGAAGAGATTTAGAGCGGTGTCTCTAAAGGCGTTCCCCATGAGGTGGCAAAGTACAGTGGAGCCGTGATGTTGTATCAGGAAGATGCGGGTCACTGTATGATGTGCTGTGCTGGAGGAAAGGGTGTGCTTTGTGTATTACTTCCAGATCTGTGCAGTCATTCAGTGTAAAACCTTGTCTCTGTGTAGGAGCTTCCTGTAATAAAGACCAGTCACGACTGCTCTCTCTGCTTGTACAGGGTGACTGGTCTTGTATCCGCCCC